GTGTGGCCTGGAGGATAGTGATGATGACCTCCAACATTGCTCTCAGCTCCGACTTCCTCATTGGAGCTCTTCTTCCTAGATTCAGTTAGTGCATAAAAACCAGAGAAGCAGTGCGGTTCATTCCTGAGTTCTCGCAAATTTTTTACTTTTCTCCTAGCAAAGCCCAGCATCGAAGATCTCTTCCTTTTGGTTGCGTTCTGTAAGCGAATAAACGATTTCATCTTTAAGGCCTTCCTTCAAATCCTAAATAAAATCAGTAAGAAGAAATAAGTGAAATCGTTTGTAGTTTTTGGAGTTCAACTGAAAAATTACTCTACTTAGGTGTCAATTGATAGACGTAATTGAATCCATAGTGCGTCTATTATTCCTTTTTTAAATTCGTCGATATGCCACGAACCACTCACATTCAGTTTTTAAGCACTCTCTGTGGAATTATCGCTACGTGTTGCTCTCAAACTTTTTTATATCTCAACCAAAAGGTCGTGAATTACTACACATTCCTTTCTACTCTCTGTTTCTTTCACAGAACTTCTGTTGCCACGTCGATCGAGCGACACAGTGGATTTTTTTCTTTCCCTCGAAATTGACTACTGACCCTTCATGAGAACTTTTTCTGATGTAAACTAACTGAGAACTTCTACCTCGACGCATAATGAGATCTCATAGTTTTCCTCGAAGTGTAGACCAAATTGTTAAACAATAGTCGGCCGTTTCGTTGCAATCCATTTGTGTAGATTTCAGTTTTTCTTAAGCCTCCATACCTTGTCTTCACACTACATGTTTATGCGATACGACTGGCTTTTCCGGATTTTGTGCTAATGTGGTTAAAGCGTGAATGTTCGAGATTTCCGTGGAAACACTCCAATTTCATTGTGTTCTTGTAGGACATCTCTTCAGAAAGTCTTGAGAAGACACACACTGACCGTGATAGTGAAGTAGCGCCATCCAGCACAGCTCACTATGTAAGTTTCTTCATGCTCAGTCTTGATTCGAGGTTATACTAACGCCGGAAATGTCGTACAATAAGTATGGCGCATGGTAAGAAAAGTAACTTGACAAATGCCAAAAGGCAGCTCAAAAACTTCAAAAAAAGGGAAATAAGTCAAAATCACAAACCTGTTTGAAAGTATTTTAGACTACACTTCAAGATATTGATCAGTTACTGTGAAGACACCACAGAAAAATGAGGACACACGCTACGCTACATGTGCAAAAACGACTGAGCTATCAGAATTGCTACAACTGCTAGTAAAAAAAAATTGTGAAAAGTCATAGCACCCGTAATCCGACATGAGCTCAATCCAATCCTTATGTTGTGCATGGGGTGAGCAGGTGGTTCAGTGGTCGGCGTGAATTGGTTTACGCTCATACATCACCCGAGATTATTTGCGTGTGCTGACATCAAATCAAAATGCCTCAGTTCAACTAATGAACTTTTTAAATTAAAGTAGATTGTTTGAAATGTACATATAATAGTCTTCAAGGCAAAGGCAGCCTATTTTAACATGGCGAAATTCTGATTTTTAGAAATTACGAAGAAAACATATTTGTCCCGCTTTTTTTCGTCGAAGTTCATATCTCGAGGAGAAAAATGATTGTGCAAGCTGGATTTCGTTTAGGACGACATGGTGCTATCCTCCAATCACCCTGCTATAGCTCACTCACAATGAAATTGGCTCGAAGTACAGAAGAACTCCAACCGTTTCTTAAGGGGATTGTTATACAATGACACAGCGTTTACCTCGTCACACCAAAAACGACACGACAAGACGACGGCACTTCACAGAAGATCTTAATCGATGATGAACTTATTCGATTCTTGCGAAGAGTGTATGTTATTATTGGAATACTGTTGCCAAACTTCTTCCTCACAAAGGGAATCGCCTCTTTTCCGGGGAGAACCACTGATGTAGGGGCGATGCTGAAAGAGCATAGAGCTGTAGAGAAACAGCCGAATCACAAGCGTTATTACACCGGATGAAAGTGCAGTTTATAAAAAGGATACGATGATGGGTGATTTTTTCACTGTACATATCGATATTTAGGATGCGTCAATATATTCTTCTTGAGCATACACAAGTTGGTTAATAAAAGGATTTATTCAATAGTGGTCGCCGTTACGGCGGTTTCGCTTTTTTCAAACCCTCGAGAGGTCACATTGAGACGCAATCTATTCAGCCAAACATTTGCATAACCTTAGCTTCTTTTAAACACTCACTGTTCCGAGATGTGGGCAAAACTAGGCACTTTAAGATCGCTTCGAACTCGCGGCTACCTTTTCCGGAGATCACGTGCTACCTATTACACCAACAGAGGTTCTTGCTTTCCTTTTATCTCAGCCTGTTTTTACTCTTTCGGTGCTGTCAGCAATCATCGGTCAACGGGAATGATCTGGAGAACACAAATTGGCATTGAACCAGGTTAAGCTGATGCTGCAATCGAAATCATAACACTTTAACTTTTTATTTTTAACACATAAAGAAAAGAATAGGCAATAAATAAAAAGTTAAAACTCACAATCTCCTTCTTGAAAATACTCACCTTAAGCACTCACTCTTTCGTTCTCTCTAAGTCTTCTTCTCAAATCGGTGAGATTTAAGGTGGTCAATAAATATGAAGAAGAATGCTGATTGGGTCAAACATTGCGCCTACCCTTTTCATAGAGATGTTCGATGTTCATGCTAACTACATGCACCTGCAGCTTTACATCACAGCATGGTACTCAAGGAAGTCATCAGACCAATGCGTGAATCAACGAAGTGACTATCACGAGATTCCGGAGGGAAAATTCCCGCCGAACTAGTGTGGTACCGATCAAAGGGGAGTTTCACCTACTACATCTCCATCAACCTTTATATAGAAGGCACTACATGCGTGATGAATTTAGAAGCGCTTTCGACAGCATATCCTAAAATCAAAAATAAAAATCATTTTTTCGTTATATTCTTGTTTAGCAAACACGAGGTGTTATTATTTCTTTATTTACGCATTTACGCACAAGCTGACATTTTGGCGGATTTCGCCTTCCTCAGAGCCCGGGAAGGTCACGTTAACCGCAATCGACCCAGTTTTGTCTTAGTGACAGTACTTCTTTTAAAACTAAGAAGTATCTTGCTGGTACGTTTTGTGGTCGCTCCCACTACCGACTTTCTATTAACATGGGCATTGATCGAGAAATTCTTTATATTCTTGTTTAACAAAAACGAGATGTTATTATAATAATAACACTCGTGTTTGATAAACAAGAATATAAAGTTTTTCGATCAATACCGAGGTTAATAGAAATCATTCGTTTGTGTTGATACACTTATCATCTACTTATCTTTGTACATGAAATATGAAAAAATCTGCGTTAACCGACCAGCGAACCCATTTCTTAAGCAAATTCTACCCAAAAACGGTTTTTCAGGGTACTCACGACAATTCCTTGTTTCTTGCCAAGCTCGTAGTTAAGTGGAATCAATCTCACCGAAAGAAATTGTGGTCTATTCGTTGAACATTCATCATGGCTCGTTGATTCGTCAAGCAACAAAAACTAAACCAGGACTGCTTTCGATGGAAGTCTATCGTAACACCAAGAGTAGTGCCTTTCCTGAAATATTAGGCATTTTCAGACCATCGTCTCAGAGGTTCTGTTCTGTAACTTGGTTGGCTACGAAGAGAGTGTCCGAGAAAAGAACGACACTATTCGAACAAATACTCTTCCAACAAACTACCAACAAGCCGCAGACCAACATGATTACTCCGGCTAAATTCAGAAAAAGCCATTATTCGTGCGATGTTTTAATTCAATTCGAACAATTTCGAAGGCACTCACTGCAACAAATAGCTGTGTACTAAACCCTGAACTCGAATCGCTGCAGCTCTGAAAGTGGCGACGTCTTCGTCAGCCAAAGTGAAGGGGTTCATCTTCAATCTTGTGTAACCATGTCTATAAATCTTTACGGTACTCACTTGACACTTGAATTTGCAGCCTTTTCGCAGCAGTGAAAACTTACCCAAAAAATTATACAAGTATCAATTGCAAAAGTCAGCAATGCATCACTTAGTAATGGGAAACACCTTTTCCTTTGCTTGCATGTAGACATGAACCGAAGGCAGTAGTCAAGGTCACTATTTCTGAACTACTATGTTGTTACTCTGCGAAAGCTAACAATACGATCGCCTTTGAAGGAAAAAATTGGGCCACTAAACATCATTGAGAAGGCGTTTCCATCAGGAAACGTCAAGAGATCGAATTCCTCGTGAAGTTGCTGACCTTGTTCTAAAAATTTAATTATTGAGTTAGTGTAGTCAGATAAACTGGCGTATAACTTCTTATTTTATTATTACATAACTCGGCATCACATGCAGCACACTCCGCGGATTCCAGCCCATCTCACATTTGATTCGTTTCTCGCATCCGCCATCCATGAAGATCTTCAAACTCTTCGAGTCTGTGCTTCACTGCTTCTTGAGAGTCGACGTCTTGTTCATGAATATCTTTGAATGTTGGTCGAATCTATTCTTCCTAGAATATTCGTGTAGCTGTGGTAGAGCATTCCCATGTGGACTGGAAGGAATGAGCTTGTCCCAGACTAGTCTGGTACCAGCTTTCCGACCTCAAAGGGATGAAGAGCTTGATGGCCATCCAGGGCCTAGGTGTGTTGGGCCGTAATGTATCATTCATTTCACAATGATCAACGTTCCAATCAGTGAAGTCACGAAAGGGTAGCAAAACAGTGGATTCGCCTTGCCTGTGCTCTATGCTGTCGCAGTCATATTAAACCGTAAACAACATTGAAAGAAAGTTAAACGCGCCACAAACTGATCACTACCGAGTTCTGTCAGCTGTTTTTATTGCCACATTATCTTTTGGCGCGCCACTAAAGCATAACACCAAGACAGACGAATAACAACTGCGCCAAAAAACAAAACACATAAAAGAGTTGAAGTAAAAAATCTTAGAGCATAAGTGACTTCCACCAGGTATCATGATGTTTAGCTGTGTCTTTCAGACAATGAGTTCGACTCTGCTGCAAGTGACGTTGGCGGTTGTCATGTTCGTCACCACTGCCTTTGCCGGCTTCATTCCACTGAAGGTGAGGTATAGAAAGTAAACAAAGCATTATAAGGTTACTTTCGTAGACTAGGTAAAGTGTTTTCAATGGAGTCGTAATTGCAGCGCTCTAATAGTAAGTTTCCGTTGGACGAAAAAGGGGTAGTTCGCTTAACGGTCGTTCTTTGGTAAGTTGAAAGATATTGCACGAAAAGGAAATATTTCAAAACAAAGAAGACGAGCTCTCGAGAAATGCTAGATTTAACAAAAACTTTTGATAACTATATAATACGGTTTGGTTTGCAGTGCATTTGAGTTTCTTCTTCAATATTTCTCCCGAAGAGATGCATGGAAAGTGGGAGCAAAGTACCACAGAGTATCTGCCCTAAAAAAGAGTTTCTTAGCTGCTGCGATTTCTGAACAAGAAGCACGGCGACAACAAGAAGTCCGGCAAATGGCTGTCATTGCTATCCTGTTTTTCGGGAGGAGTGTTTATGGGCACGTGTTTTCTAGACATCGTGCCTCATATCAAGTGAGTCTTTAGACCATTACTCTTTACCTTCAGCTGCATCACCGATGTCGTGTATCGCCTCTGCAAGGTAGTAAGCGCTATTCAGCATAGGTCCATCTCATGCTAATCATATCCTTTTTGAATGGGATCGAAAAAAAAAACAAGTCGTCGAAATAGACACACAGGGAAATGGAAATCTGAGCGGTTCTGAATAGTTTACTATCCCCGAACCCTTATAATTACGGCTTAGTCGCCAAGATTAGTGATGGTTAATTGCACGAGGACGTCAACAAGGCTTCCACTGAAATATATTGTGTCAGTGGTTATTGTTTCAACAAATTATTATCGAAATTTGATGTGCCACAGAGCCTCGGTTTACCCCGCACTAAAGATCCTTGCGTCATCTTTATTTATCATGATGATTTCCTACCAGCGGTTTACAGCTTATTTGCCATTAATTTCTCTTCGCTATAATCATCGAAAATTACGTTCAACCACTGTGTAGATTGTCGTCGTGGATAACTCTTACATTCAATTTGCGTTCCAACTTTGTTCTTTCTGCACGTCCACAGTCACCTGTTTTCATGACCACTCGACCTATCTGTTTTTTGCTCTCACAGTACATTCCCCTGATTTTTCGAAGGTGAACCATTTTTGACAATACGAAGTATGTAATCTGATCTGATGTGCATGTGTCGGCTAAACTTTAGAAGCCGTCCTTGGAAACGTTTTGTCGGTGAAATTTCCCGATGCGGTTGAAATGCTTACACACGTTTCATTTGCATTGCATAGCGCTAGCAGGTAAGCAGTTGCCAAAGAACTGATCGCTGAATTTTAGGGCTATCAGTGCAGTAACAGTTTATCTAACCGACACCAAATTTCCAGGGCTCATTGTAATAAGCAGAGACTCCCTAGATGTACAGAGCTTCTAGGACGGTTCTGCCTCAGCTGAGTCCAATGATTTATTTAATTCGATGAAAGTGAAATTGAGCGGTCTCTTGTATTCTCGCTTTACTTCGTTGTGGGAAGTGTTGTGCCGACTCCTTTTCGAAACCCTGCTTGTTTATATGGCTGTCTTTCGCCCAGTGTTTCGTCAGTACCCTTTAGGATAATTTGAGCTAAGAGTTTCTAAGCGACGGACACCAGGCAGGTTGTGGGATAGTTGTCGGCATCATGTGAATCTCCGTTCATGTCCAATAACACGGTTTCACCGAACTTCTTTTGACTAACCTTGAAAGAAATGGCATGCTCTGGACACATAAGATCCTTGAGAAAGGATGTAGATTTAGAATACGTCCTTCAGTGGAGTAAGTTTTTGCATATGTTCTGGTAGTTCAACAGTTCTAGAAGTAGAGGGCCCGTTTTAAAGTACAATACGGTTTACAGTTGGTAGACTATTTAGCGATGGGTGCTTCCATCCTAAATTTTGATAAAAGATTACTTTCAAAAAGGACCACTGCGACTAAGCCTAACATGCTAGTGTTCTCGATCCTACAGAATTTCACGAGATTATGATTACGATTAATGATTATTAAAACCTATCACGGGTGACTGCTGCTGACAGCATTAGGTACAAAACTAGCTGAGAGAACCGCAGAGTAAGGGCCTCCGTGGTGCAGTGTGTAATGTGCGAGCCTCGGAAAGGCAAATCATAGTTCGGTCTGGCTGAGGGTCCATGTTTTGCGAGTATCTCAGCATCGTTGTAGTTGTAACTCACATCATACCCTACCGTGAAGAATTATAGTAGGCAGAAAATAAAAGGTTAGCATTAAAACCTACCACTTTTTCTAACTAGCATTTTATTTTTCATGTTCAATGAGAAGCTGGGTAACATTCTCATGGAGCAGTTAACTGCTCACAATTCGGTAATTTCTTTCGCAATTGATAGAATGTCTCAATCGAAAAGAAAAAAAGGGTGGTTCTAACACACTTCCCATTTAACAGGTATGTTGCAGATCGGCAATTTTTTCCCTCACAAGTAACAAGAAACCCTCGCGACGGCGTCCCCAGGTCAGCACCACAGGCTCAGCGGAAATGTCGAACCCCTGGGGTGGGGTGGCGCTGCTGACAGATGATCCCCCAGCGACGTTGCAAATCGGAATTCGGCAAGAAGGACCATCCTTCCGGTTATGGAGAACCGAAAAACTACTGTGGGAGTTTACTAAATGATTTTAGAAAAAGACAGAGAAGATGTTTTAATGGATACTGTTCTTGTATTCCCACATTTTATCCTTTGTTATTCGATTATCTCGTCATTCCTGCTATTGTATATTGCGAACAACTTTTACTGGAAATTCATGCGGAACTTCTTTTAATGTAGACGGTGAAATAGATATGGTATTTTCTCAGTCACATCTTGAAAGAATCCGTGTTCCTACAGACCGTTTGAACAAATGAGATTTATGAGAGAGGATGTAGATTTAGAACACATCCTTTTTTGGTTAAGAATTTCAGTTACTGCTAGATGGACAACAAACGCACATAGTTGCGGCTGTCTGCACAACAGCGTTGATTCTGCTTCCATTATTAGGCAAAGAAAAGGACATTTTTTACCGCAATTGCAGCTCTGTTACGTAATTTAAATGGCAAAGGATAAAGCGCACGGCGTTGACCGACCCTTGAGGGACGCCACATGCATTCAACTTCACCAAACTTCGTTAGAGGAGATTGAATGTAGCCTATACAGTTACTTCGGGTGGCCTACCAATATATCGAATCAGTGTTAGCATCTTCCCAAACAAGTCTGGTAACAACGTGCCAACTCCGGATGATTGCCAAGGTTAGCTGGTGGCGTGGGATCGAATCAAGAACCACTTGTGTACTGCAGCACTAGCCACTGCGCTACACACGCCGAGTATCGCAAATTATTTTCGGTGATGTTATGGTGTAGACGTTTCCAGCAAATGACACATAGAAATCCCACGGAGGTGATTCGTCATTAAGCCGTTGGAGTAGACGCGATCCAGCGTTGTCATCAATGTCATTGAACATGTAACATTAAGGCTATCACGAGAAACGGCTAGGGGCGCTATTGGTAGTGGGAAAATGGTAAAAAAAAGTGGGAGGTGATCACAGGAGAAGAATTTGGCACTGTATCACTTAGCACTAGCTTAAAAACACTTAAACAACTATGAAGAAGGAAAATGAAAATCACCGTCCATTAACAGAGACACACACAGCTTACAAAATTCAGAGCTTTCAGCGAGAACTACGAGGATTTCAAGGTGTTATCAGGAATGGACATCGAATTTCCGTTGCCACAATTCTGCACCTGCATCGGTTTCTTTCTTGTTTACCTCATCGAAGAAATATGCATGAAGGTTAGTATCTAGGCTGAGGGGGCGGTCTTATAATGGAAAGAGCTTTGCTTTGACTCCAAACAACGAAAGATAACATAGCGAAACGAATTAATAAAAACAACAATGTGGAAGCACGAAGAAATTCTGGCTCCGGTATCGTTTATCCTTTATCCTTTTACCGTTGTTAATTTCTATACGAATGGGAAAGAACAGTGGTCTACGTGTAACTCGATTTATGAAAATTCTCAATGTGGGCAATAATGACTTTGAGCATTTCTTTTATTCTTTGCAACTTTTGTAAAAATATATCCATTATTATAAGTGTCTAGCTTCTTTGAGCATTATTTTTGCTTAAAAAATCGCTCGGATATCAGAATTTACCAGTAAAACGGTAAATCCCAGAAATATTTGGACACTTGGATAGTTGTACGGCCCGTTCTCACTAGCTGAGCAGGACCCAACATACTCTCCAGTTTTCGGAGTTTTGCTGGTCTACCCACTATGTTTCTGTAGAGTCTCGAGGTCAGCCTGGACAAAGTCTACCCTAGGTCGTCGCCTCCATAAGCAGTCGCGTACCTTGTGAATTACAGGGAGGTTTGCTACCATGCGACTAGTTTGAAACCAGGATGGTGGTGGATCCTGGTATTGGTTTAGTCTTAGTTCAGCTTCCTGACGGAAACTCCAGACTCTTTCACAGCGTGGGAAACCCTGTTGGGCGGATGTATCTCCCCACTGTACATCGTAGCCCGACACCCAGGAACACCTCCCAGCCACGATGAGGCGGTAAAGCATTGGGAGGAATCTCAGAAATAGCCACAGAATTTCGGATGTTCGCTGTTATGTGGCTATAATCAATGGAAAGAGTAGCCTATTTAAAATTCTGAATAGTTGAAGCTTATTGATTTCTAATCTCTTGAGTATACGGAAACAATGGATTAAAAATAACACAGACGCAGAAGAGACCACATAAACGCTTTAAAACTGCTTTCATGACTTTTTTCTTTTTTCCTCACCTTATGAAGAGATTGAGATTTTTTTGCTTTAGGTATTCAGCATGAAACACAACCATGGCCATGACAGTCATGTGGAGAAGGCGAAAGCTGCTCCTAATGTTCACAGAGACAGTCTTAATCTTAGAAAGTACGCTAGTTTGTCCCATTTGTAAATAAGCATATGCCAGAATCTATTATCTTAACAATCAGCGGAGCTTAATTCTTCTAGCAGAACTCATATAGTTTCATTTAATAGAATTTCATATTGTATCCTAGTCGCATCAGACTAATAGAGAATTAAAGATAATGTTCTCAGTAGTACGAAGGCGTACGAATTGACGTCTACGGTATTGATGCATATCGATTAACGAGATGATTTGCTGGGATGAACTACTGATGGATATGCATTTGTTGGATAAACATCATCCTAATCTGAACTGTGGTTCCAGTAATGTCCGTGCAGAATAGCCCTGCAAAGATGATTCCAAAATCTGCATTTTACCAGGTCGAAGTACCTGTTTAGCAATAGTAATGCTCACATACTGTGTCACCTAGATCGACCGTGGTGAGTTCCTGTTTACTGCTAACCTGCCACACGGAAGCTTTATTTCTGCCGCTGCCGCAGTTCGGACATTAAGCTTCAGTAATCAAACTTTTAGGAGCGTGTGTAGAGCAGTGGTCGGAGGCGCCCTGCAATACATATGGGATCGATCCCCGCGCCTAAGGCTCACTAACTCCGTCCCTCCTGGGTCGGTAAATTGGTACCAGACTTGTCTGGGAGGATAGCATCACTGGTTCGATACATTGAGTAGGCTACTGCGAGTCATTGTAAAGCCCAGATGTGCATTCAGTCACCTCGAACGATCCTTAATGAAATCGAATGCGTGGTGCATCTCCCAGGAATTGATCAACGCCGAGAGCTTCATCCTTTTTTAATCAAATTTTGTAAAAACAACATGAATACAACAATAAAGATGTGGCGAGACAAATACTCAAAGGTAATATGAAGGGAAACAGTCACATTGACAGTAGTAGAAGCCTCTGCAATGGAGTGAGTTATATACGGTTTATGGGGTGGTTGGAGCTCACAATATCGACCTGGCGGGTATCTTATAATGTCCATGGCGAATACATGGAGTGACTGAAAAATAATTTCCTGTTTCAAAATGCTCCTCATTTATTCATTTATTGTGATATTCTTCTCAAACTCGTTCCGTATGTTCCATAATTCACGGGAATTAAATAATATTCGGCTTTTTTTAGACCAGTTGTTTGAAATTTGGAAGCCCTACAAACACAGCTGGGCGTCTCACTATGTAAGAGCTTGCCCACCTAGTGGCCCTTTGCGAAGTTGGGAAATCCAGTGTTCAAGTTGCTAAAAAGATGACCAACCATTGTTATGGAGAACTAATGGTTACGGGATTTGTAAATGATTCCCCAAGAAGGGGTCCCCCATCCAATTCCAGCATCTTAGAGGTACTGTATGTTGTCCAACAAATATACCTCAACATGCTGCGAAAAGAAATTCAGCCAGTTATCAATACATGAATGAGCGTTTGGTATTCACGCAAAATGGCGTTCCTCCACATTTTGCTACTGCTACTCGTGAATGGTTGAATACGCGCTTCGCTGGGAGCTGTATGGGCCACTGTAGCCAACCAGAAGCCCTCATTTAACACCGTGCGATCTTTTCGTGTGGGGTTTGTCGAAAGAGGAAGTCTACCCTACCAAAGCAACAAGTTTGGAAGAACTTAGAGGGCGATTACAAGAAGTTAGTTCTTCCGCCCCACAAGAGTTCCTGATGAAGTATTTTAAAAAGTATTTTAAATAAAGCTTCATGCTATGCTCTTTCTTCTTGTACTTACTTCTTGTAAAAAAATTGTTGCTAAGAAACAAGTTATAGAATTTAAAATATTTTGCAAGAATTTTAAAACAGGGAGCTACTTTTCACTCAGTCAGTGTGGTAGGTAGGGAGGAGGAGTGGCCAAGGACATACCGAGTGGTGCGCGATCGGAATGGCGCAAACAATACCATTTCGTCATATATGAGAACGTAGACGCAAACACTGTTGAGGACAGTACATACTCGAAGCTTACCTGAAGTAATGTGAAAAGATGGAGAAAATTCATAGGACTATATATTTGGCGCAATGGTCGGAGGCTTCCCGCAATATACACCTGGAATCGACTCCCGAGCCCATGGGTCACCAAGCCTTCCATTCCTCCGGGGTCAGCAAATTGGTACCAGATTTGCCTAGGAGGATAGCAGCACTGGCTCGACACATCGGTAGGCCACCGCGAGTCATTGTAAAGGTCAGATATGCATTCCATCACCTCCAACGATGCTTAATGAAGTCGAATGCATGGCGCATCCCTCAGAGATTGATCAACGCCGAAAGCTATATCTTTTTTTTAATATATGACCAATATATAAAGTGTATTCTCCCAATGGTTTACCGCCTCATCGTAGCTGGGATATGTTCCTGGGTGTCGGGTTGCGATATACAGCGGGGGTATTCATCCCCTGGTAGGGTTAAGCTGAGAAGGAATCCGGCATTTCCATCAGGAAGCCTAGCTAAGAGTAAACCATTACCAGGATCCATCACCGTCTTGGTATTAAAGTCGCATAACGGCAAATCTCCCTCTGATCCTCAAGGGGCGACTGCCTGTAGTGGTAAAGACCTGAGGCTGACTTTGGCTAGGCTGACCTCAGGATTCCAGGGAAGCACAATGGCTTAATCAGCAAATCTCCGAGAAATGGGAATTATGCTGGGGCCCAGCGATTAGTGAGGACGGGCCGTTCAAGTATCAAGTATATAAAGTGTACAATATTATGAGAAGATAGTATCGCTTAAGGGTAGAGAATAGCATTTGTGCATATCACGATTTAAGTAGTTATTCAGCTCTTTTAGTGGTTTGTGGATGAATTTTCAGTACAACATTACTTCTTTTCAACAACGTTCTGTTAACGTTTACTTTGCACGATTGCTTTCGCAGTTTCACTTCTTCATTTCTTCTTTCAAACTGCACGATTTGCTGTGTGCAACACTCACGACTCCATTAAACTTTGATGCCACGCTTCTTTATATTGTATGTTATGTATAGCTGTGGCTTTTCTGAAGTATTCTGAATATATACATTACCAGTTTTTGAGTTGAGTGCTTCCTCATTTAGCACATTCGCGACGACGTAACCTCTATGTTATTTCTAAGGGGACCACTGTGGCCGGCATGACCACTTCTATAGAGGTCATTTTGTTCTCTATGGGTTACTTTGGTGCAAAGAGCCCTTTTCTTACAATTTTTCTCTAATCAATCAGTAGCTTTCCCAAGATGTCGTGTTGAGCACCAACTGAGAAAAACTCTGTTCCGCACTTAGAAATATACAAAAAAGCTTTTCATCGAACAAGTTCATTGAGTGACAGTTAGAATCGCAATTGTCTGTTTATAATTGGTATAATGAATTATGGTTATCTAATGGCATGAGCGGGGAAAAGGAATACAGAACTGTACTCAAGCATAATCTGCAATACCTTCCAAATGCTGACATCAATGGGTATGCGTGATGGGGCATAGTAGCATGTAGTAAATAATAGCGTAATTATACCTACGGAGCAAAACCTTTTCTGCAACTTTGTCATGTTCACGACACCTCAAGTCTTCTAGTTATCGAGAAATTAACCTCTCCCGTTTAAAGCCGAGCAAGTCCGTGACACCCGAAAGTTAGTCACCGTCCCGCTGGCCGTGAGAAATTGGACGTCGTAGCGAATCTGCTAACGCATAGCAAGAAACTAACAATGACTAACAAGTCACTTACTACACTCCATATCGTTCGGTTAGAAGACGACATTACTGAAAAATCAGAAAATTCTAGATAAATTTGTGGACGTTTTCTTTCTTGGCAGCTAAAGTTTTGCATGTGCCCCAGCTTTCAGCACGCAAGCGCTTCTTGGCATAAAGGACGACGAAGATCCGAGGAACACTTTGCAAGCGCACAGGTTTGCTTCTTGTTGCACACTAACGTGTTAACGCTCTTATCTATCAACGCTTGCTGCACGGTGTGTTTTTCTCTTTATCAGGCTAAATCTCATAGGACTAAAATCTCTATTAAAAATCTCCTACATTTGGAGACTTGACCTCCAGTGTTATTGTCGTGTCAAATGCAGCAAACAACTCGTCTGTTCAAGTTTTCAGCTATTATGGCGTTGTGCGGCAAAGCATTGTCGTGGCTTGCCTGCTAGAAATATGTAAGCAAATTGTAGAACTGCAGTAGTCATAATGGAATAGTTAACGCATTAGTTTGACAGAATGATTGAGCAGTGTATAACTGTGAAGTGTAGATTCAGCCTGGTGATGGAGGAGACTGCGAACTACGCGCTAGCAGAGGCATCCGAAGGCTCGCTGCTGAAATCGCTCACTTTCGCCATTGCTATGTCGTTCCACTCGATACTCGAAGGGTTCGCGCTAGGAGTTCAGGTACCAATCACAATTTTACTCTATCTTTGCTATTATCGGGGAGTTTCTACCGATATATGAACCCTTTTGGAAAAATTTGGAAGAATTTATATTTCTAGCTTGATCGTTCTTCCAAGTAGAGATGCAGAAGTAAGAGACTGTTTACTAAAAGCGTGATGTTTTTTCTGTCCAGCGAGAGAATGGAACCCAATGGCTAGCTGCGGCACTGCACAGATCCGAATGATAGTTCTAATAATGCAGAGTTATTCATCGACTGCCGATGATGAAGAAGATACTGAGAGCTTGGAAGACACGTCTTCATAAAAAAATTTTGCAGGCCCCAACTTTCTTTCCACGTAGCTAGTATATGGTTTGGCAAGATTTTTAATCGCAAGACTCGACAAATTCATGCCATCGTATTCCTTGGTTGTTACTAGAGATAGTAGTCTACCTTTGTGTATTTAAAGAGAGATTTGAGATGTTGTAAATAAACTTCTTCCTAGACGATGGCGATTCTTCATATTGATTTTCTCCTAACTACTTTTGCCAAACCAGACGTCAAAGTCTTGTTCAACTCAATTTACCCTTCTAGGGAGTGAAATTCATGTGGAGACAGCCTTTCATAACCCAAGAACACCGCGTAACAACGATGGTATCGTAGAGATGTTCCTATTTTAGTCAGGCTTTACAGATTTGTAAACAGTTCAGCAAGGAATAACTCGAAAGAAATTCCAATGAGGTGAAATAAATCGAACTCAATAGCTCTGCGATTGCTATTGAATATAGAAAACAATATGGATATAGGATTACACCGATAAAGGAAAGCATCGTTGGTAGGTTTCGCACCTCTCAGAGCGGCCACCTCCCAAATAACTGCTCAGAAGCTTGGCGCTCACCTATTGTCTTAACGCTCGCTATTCGGAGCGCTCTGTTAGAGAGGCGGGTTCATACTTTAGCTAGGTCGAAGCATCAGCGCATCACCATTTCCACTTTCCTCTTCCTCTTTCTCAGAACAGAAACAACAGTTCACTATGTTCATGGGAAAAGACTCGAAAGGAAGCTGTCAAATAAGGTACTAAGACTGACTGCTGTTAAGACACCGTCTTTTGACACGTAGTGCTTTGATTTTTCATTGAAATAAGCTCAAAAGACTAACTATTCGCACGGAAGCAGAAGTCCCATATAGTAGACTACCAAACCTACTGCATTAAATTTTTTAAGCAACTATTTTCTCTAAATGCCAACCTTATTTCAAAGAACGATTGTTAGTCATTAGGACTGTGAGGTATGAGCTACATATCTGACTTTGCAGAATACGACAGCGCGAATCGTCACCCTGTTTATTTCGCTCATCTTGCACAAGGGAGTCGAAGCATTCTCAGTCGGACTGCAAATCTCCAAAGGCAACAGCCACAAGGTCAGCTGCACTGCTCCTAAAGCTAGTGCCTTGATCTCTTATAAGGGAGATGTAGTGTTCTGCAATGAGATTCTTTCGCATATTGGCGAGTCTGAAGCGTAATGGATGAAGTGTTCAGTGTTGATCTATCCCTTAGGGATGCACCATGCTTTCGACTTCATTAAGCAGACCAGAAGTGATTGAATACACATTTTACCGATACAATGACCACCTATGGGGGGCCTACACGTGAATCAGATCATTCTTCTTTGTTATTTCGGAAAAGTCCGATACCAATTTTCTGATTGTCGAGAGATGGTGGATTTGGTTAACGCAGGGCATGGGGTTGAACCAACTATCTCAGGTGTATTAGTGGGCGACTCTTACCACTGGGCATACAGGTGGTGTTGCTAGCAGTAAAACACTAGCTGACACATTGATATTTTGCAACTCCTTATATGCAAAATTATATAGAATATGGACAAATTTGCCACTACATGAGTGATTTACGATACATAGGTGTATGGCCACCTTGGACACTGTGATGCATATAGAACTTATACTGTTTTGTTTGAATATTTTCTTTTGCCTGTTCATCTTTTTCCGTGATATTTTGTATAATTAACAGATTCGCAACAACTCGTAATTTTCTGTAGTGGGCGCGTGTGGACGGCTTTTCGATAAGTAAAGTCCATGATGAATTGCGATTTTAACTCTCTTGTAGAAGACACCTTCCTGTGTCGCTGTAGAAGTACATGTAGTTCATTCAAAGTCGCAATTTAATTTAAAATGCTGCTAGGATCAGAATTTCCAGAGAAAAGGGGCACATTGAAACTTTTAAGTGGCCCTCTCGTGGTGTTTGCGTGGCGAGCACAAATAGCATTGTGAACGGCATAATGTCGTGCTGGAAGAAATATTGTTTATTTTACCGCTTAGCGTGAGTCTTGACGAAATGGGGCCGATAAAAGTGATATGAGCTCGTGACAAGCGGAATTTAATGGGATAAGCCGACTACTTGATGACTGCCCCATACTGGATTAAATCTCTAAATCAAGAGTTAAACCGTTTTGCATCTCCCCAATACTTTCAATATTAAGTAAGCGAAACTATATATGGAAGAGCATTCAAACATTCCATAATTGGAGCAAAAAACTCATTGTTTAGCTGAAAGCGGTAGTTACGACGATTATCATCTACGCCATGATGACACCACTAGGATCTGGATTAGGAACACTGCTCCAGGTATTCTAAGTAGAAAGCTTCTTTGAAATATTCGTTATTGTAACACTGTTAAATTCTAAACAGGCAATTGCTTTAAGTCCTCATAGCCATTATTCTGCTCTGATCAATATCCTGCAAATCAACGAAACGCTTTATGACATAATTTGTTACTTTATTGTTTATACGATTCCTTTGCCAACTGAACCACTCTCAGACGAAAGTTGGCAACAAATGCTGCCATGCTGGAGTAGAAAGGATAAAAGTTAACGCGCTCGCCGTTAAGCAACCTCTTTAACAGTGCACCATGCTTTTCGCTATATTCATAGCACCGCAGAGGTGATTGAATGAATGTGTCAACTCAGTGCTGCTACCATCCCAGGCAAGACTGTTACCAGCTCGCCAACTCAGGATCGAACGAAAGACCACGTGTGTATTGTAGCGCACCTGTAACTACATCGCACAACACGTGCACAGAGAGGATAAATAAGCCATTATTTGGTTAGGTTTTATGACTGAACAATGCAAGTAGTTAAAAGGAAAGTAAATCCTATGTTAGGCTGATGGGAGAATGCGAATAAAAAGCGCTGAGACTTCTCACTCATGTGAGACTCTCTGCTGCTGGTCTACATCAGATAACTGGGAAGTTTACAAAGAACGAAACGGCCCTGAACGCGAAACCACCGAAACATCGGCTGTTGCGCATAAATAAATGCAATACTAACAATTCTGTCTTTGTTTATCAAAAATACAGTGAGTTATTGATCAGTGTCAAGGTTCAAAGAAAGTCGCTCTATGGATTTGCTGTCACTTTCAATCCCAACGAATGTTTTATAAAATATTAATGGTCAATTTCGCCTTAAAACACCAAACTGCTTCACTTCACATTGAAAAGAGAGATAGAAAGAGAGAGCAAGAGAGAGAGTGAAAGGAAGAGAGAGGGAAATGAGTCGCTTCTTCTTGAAGTTGTAGATTGACCACTCTGAGCTTCAATGACTGATTGATTGATTGATTCAAGATTCATCGATTCAAGCAACTGATCAGAGCTTATTAGATTCTACCCATCTGATAAGTGATTTCTTCACTAAACCCTGTGTATACTTCAATGATGCTGAGATATTTGCAAAACTCCGGACCGCAGGTGTCTTCGGTAGGGAACAAAAGCGCTATTGTCCTTTCTGGAGAGTAACGCGTTCACCACCACACCACGCGGGTCCTTCGTTTCGCCTGTCTCTCAGCTAGTTCTATCGATCTTTTACCATCAGCAATCACGCGTCGGCGGGATTGATCTGGGGGGCCCAAATCGGCAACGAACCCAGTTAAGCTGAGGCCGCAGTTATAATCACAATTTTAACTTATTATTTATTTGGGTCGCCAGATCAATCCCGCTGACGGGTGATTGCCGATGGCAAAGATCGATAGAACTAGTTGAGAGACAGGCGAAACGAAGGACGCGCGTGGTGCGGTGGTGAACGCACTACTCCCCGGAAAAGACAATAGCGCGTTCGCTCCCTACCACATACACCTGCGGTCCGGAGTTTTGCAAATATCTCAGTATCATATAAGTTATATTTCGCAATGCATACCCTACCTCTAAAAAGAGTTAGCAGTAAATAATAAGTTAAAACCTATGTATACTCTTCAGTCTAACTGTTACTTATGACTTTACAATTGTTTAGTCGAATTAATTAGCACTCTGAATATTTATAAAAAAGACCAGCAGGACTGAAATCAAAACTGTGGTCCATTTTTTAACCACGATTAAAAACGTATCCATTATAAGCATACATTAGAATGTCGTTTTACCACAAATGCACAGATATTTTGTATCAGACTCCATTACATCACGTTCAGCTCTCCAACATTAGTCGGCTTCATAAGGATGGTGCAGTTTTAACCCTGGAGTCGCTTGCCGCCGGAACGTTCATCTACGTTACGTTTCTTGAGGTTGGTCCACCATCTAGTATTGGCTAGAGAATTGTACCTCAGAAGCACTACAGTCAACGAAGGCCTTCAAAATCTCTGACGAGAGATTACCGTGCTCTGTTAATCGCTTGTTACCGAGGCGCTCGCAACACACACATTATTTTCAATGGTGCTGAAATATTTGCCAAACTCCGGACCGTGTCTGCGATGGGGAACGAACACGCTATTGTCCTTTCCGGGGAGTAACGCGTTCACCACCACATCATGTGGGTCTTTCGTTCGCCTGTATATTATGCCCTGCCATTAAAAAGAGTAGGCAGCAGTAAATAAAACGGTTAAGACACACATTATTGTTCTTGTAGAATCGTAGATACAGTACTGACCTTATTTCTTGGTCGTGTTAAACTTGCAACGCAATTTCGAACACAGGAAAAACGAAAGCAATCAGAGCTACACACTAACTGACACGACTTAAACTGTTCCAGCTGCTAGAAGATTCTCATTAGTTGGCTGTACGCACCTCTTAAATCACGTATCACTTGGCTCTAATTTTTTATCTCTATCAGTAAGCCCTTTCTTTTCTTTTTAAGATCTTTATCAGTAAGCTTGAAGTTAGACTAATGAAATAACTTTTGCACCAAGATCAAAGTTTCGAGCGCCCCTCCAAAGTTCGACCAACTTTTCGCTTACTTCACGTGGTGTTAACATTATAGTCCTAGAAAATATGTACAGGTATTTCAGGTGTTAGCACAGGAAAAAGATAACGAACACAACAGTCTTAAGCAGTTATTGGCGATCTTCATCGGTTTCGCCGTAGTAGCAGCCTTACAAATCGCTTTCGGGTAGGAACTACCAATCCAAGATTGATACTTTTAGTTTAATCAAGGATCATTTCCAGTGGTCACAATCATGAAGGAGGTCATATGCAACGTTTTGCTAACGATTCCTTATCCACGGTGATCCCTCACTAGCGAACAAAGCCACTGAGCTGCTCAACTTCTCATTCGCGCTCGGCCAAATGGCTAGATGTCGTGGACAACTCAATTACTTTGAAAACTTAAACATTACACATTCGTATATCTTCTTGACAAGTATTTTCCACAAAAGACGAGATCTTAACAGGATTCACCTTGAAGGGTTCATGGATAAAGTGAATCGGCGTTTCTTCCACAGATGTTTGTTTTTGGAAAAGATCAGTTGTAATGCTTAGCTATAATTCACATTTTATTCGAAAACGGAGAGCTATACGTTATATATTAACCAACCCATGTGACGATTTTTGCTTCACCTATGTTTGCTGAATTGCATTTAATTAAGTGACGTTTCTATGATAGTCCTCTTCAAAATATCGCAACTTGCCTAGAAAATTCACTTGATCACGGGTAAATGCTCCTCTCCTTCCGCTGACTTTTGGCTTTTGACAACTATATGAAGGATGAATCAGCAGTCGTACACAGTTACTATTCACAATAAAAAACTACATATATGTATATATATATGTATATGTATATATATATATGTATATACATATATGTAAATATGCACTTTATCCTATCCGAATACGAACATGTTTTTTATGCAACCATAAAAATTTGCAACACTGCGTATGCAGAAGCAACCGAATATTCACATTATACGACTCCAGATAATCTAAGAATCCTGAAAACCCTTGCTCTGGGAGCTATTGCTTGCTACAGTGTAGAGCAATGTTCGAATGTCCAGAAAAAGGAAAGAAAATACATTAACTATTTTATTCACTAGAACAGAATAACAATCCTACGGTGGCTTTATAAACTATAAATTAAAAACATTCTATTCCCATTTCCCTTTGGAACATCTACAGACTTTTCGTTGTAGATTTTTCCTTTGGAAGGGTCGTTTGGATAGCTGCAAGTTCATCGTCCCATGCTTTCTCAATCTTTGACCAGTGGATGAGAAGTTCCTAAAGACGAAAGTGCAAATGAATTGGAACGTTATGAAACTGACGTTATGAATTTCGGCAAAAGTCAAGCTATTTGTCGAGAAAAATTCACGATTAAATAAGTACATAGATTTATTTACCTGAGAAAAAATAAAGAGGTACAAAAGATGACAAAACTGAGATGTCGAAAATTCCGCATACTTTCTGGGAATTTTCCCCCGAAGAATAAGTTGTTTGGATGCATAAGTTAAGATATAACTTTGTGAACAAATATAATACGAAAGATGGTAAATCATACACATGCACAGCTTCTACGCATACCTTCTTCCTCTGCTCACGCCTGTTGAAGTAATATGGGAACTGCTCTCGTTCAGCAAGCGTCCACTGGTCAGAATCAAGGATCTGTAAGCCAACATTTGGAACGATAACGTTAAAGTTTGTAACGACAAAGCCAAAACATTTTTGGAGCAACTCAACAAAATATCAATACACTATTTCCTATGGATTTCCTACAAGCCCAGTACTAGTCTGCACTATACGATCTAGTGCATAAACCTGATCCATAAATTGTAATGCATAAAGGTTGCTAAGTAGACGTACCACATCTGAAGATTCGCGGTCGCGATCGTAGCTATTACCTCCAGGGTCCGCTGCGACTGAAAAAATCTCTTTATGACCCGCATGACAAGTATAAAATAGAACACTAAGAGGTGCGGCGTCATCGTCCTAAATAGGCTATTTCATTGACAGCATCAGGCGAAGAGGTCAGGCTTGAAATAAGCCTAATGCAACTACATTTACTGAAGATAAGACTGATTGATTGGATCATACATCGGACAGGTTTGTAGTGCTTTTTCTCCCACAACTGCCGACAGCCGTCCGCCAAGAGATATTGACTTTTACGAGTGTCCTTTTCGTCCTTGTTTGCATCAAATCTAGCGCGCATGATCACCTTCTGGTAACGCACCTCCAGACTAAAAATAAACATTACAGTGAACACAGCTCAACTTCCAGCTGAGTATGAGTAGGATGTGAAGCATGTCTACGTCTTAACGAATCATGGTGTAGGCAACTGATCATGGAACGCTAACATCTATGTCATTTACTAATATCCGGGCTACCTCGTGGACCCAGTTGCGATCATAAGCATTTAATTTGGTGCAATTGTAGTTGGTTGTTTCATGCAGTGCGTATGGATTTCGTGCACTTATTTTCGAAATTTTTGTGCCACACTTTCTCGTGGTTCTTATTGTAATAATTTAATAACTTCTCTAACATTAATATTATTCTTCCAACCTGCTCCAAGAAAATCCTACTTTATACAAAATACAGTTTAAGAAAGCCATTACTGGAACTATTACATTTATTTGCATGAGACCTAGTGTGCCCTTGGTTTTTGCCGTACATATAAAGTAACACAGACTGCTGCTGATAAGGAATGTTAAGAGCTACTTAAGACCGTATACATTTAGAGCAATGCGCCTGGCACGCAAAGAAAAAATCAGCTTTAGTCCCACATCGCAATCCTCGTAAATTATGCAATGTCGGAGGAAAATGTACCAATGGCTGAACTATGAGCAATATAGCACATCACTATGCTATAACAATAACCTTACGTTCTTACAAAAAAAGGGCAGCTGAAAAATTTACACAAAGGAGTGACACGGAAACCAATTTCCCTACATATTGTTTCCTAACAACATAACGTCCATTCCATTAGAGAACAATAAGGAACTCGTAAGAACACTCACACCCTAAAACGCTAGCACTGGGCTAAACCCCAACACTAGCAAACGTATTGCTAAAAAGCTAAAAGATCTCATATGAAAAGTGTTGCGCCCTTGGTGACCTTTGAGTGAACAAGTGCCGCTTCACTGCGCAGCTTTTAAGTGCTACAACGACGAATGGATACTCTACTGGTGAGCACTCAATTAAATTATTGATGGCAGAAGTGACAACACAGCGTAGAAAACAATAAACAACGTTACTGTGTGAGTTTCTTTGTGAAAATTAGCGGGTATCTACGTGATTCTGTCAGAAAGCCTTCAGTGACACTACGGATACACATCACACTGAAAATGTGGATTAGAAAAAGTAGCAGCTCACTTGTCACCGCCATACCAGCTGTCTATTTCGCGCAGAGCTCTTTTGTAAAGACGGCACACCTTTTGTCGATGTGACAAAGCCTTTGTGAACATCCAAGCAGGAGAGTCCATTATTTAGCGTGAAAACAACTGCTTGTTGTCAAAAATTTGGACTTTGCGCTTCTGAAAACTACAAAGACAATTATTCACAAAAAACAGGTCACACGACCTAACCACAAAACCCGACCGATTTATGTCACAACATTTACAAACCACTATCATAATATAATCACAACGATGCTGAGATATTCACAAAACTGGAACCCCGGGCCAGATCGAACCACAATTACCTCTCCGGGTGCTACCGACGGGTGATTGTTGGTGAAAGCGTTAGATAGAAAACTAGCTGAGAGAAACGCAAAGCAAAATCCCCCGTGGTGCAAGGTGTAATATGCGAGCCCCGGAAAGAGTAATCGTGGTTCGATCTGGCCCAGGACTTCAGATCACCAGCCGGCGAATAAAATCACGGTTTTTGCTCTCCATCATAAGTCTAGTCTCTAATGTGCCGAAGATCGAGAAACGGGGTCTTGGTTTAGACTCGCAACGGTGGACCGAACCAAGGAACGTTGCGTTGCAGCACCTGTAACTACCAGAGTACCCAGTTAAGCTGCGGCAGTAGTTGAAATCACACTGTTATACCTTTTTATTTTCTGCCTACTATAATTTCGCGGCAGGGTACTAAGCGAAATACAACCTGGGTTCTATGCCGATTTGGACGCCCCAGATCAATCCCGCTGACGGGTGATTGCTGCGGAAAAAGATCGATAGAAATAGCTGAGAGACAAGCGAAACGAAGGACCCGCATGGTGTGGTGGTGCACGCGTTACTCCCCGGAAAGGACAATAGCGCGTTCGTTCCCCACCATAGACACCTGCGGTTGCATATATCTCAACATCATTAGTTATATTTCGCAATATACCCTGCCATTAGAAAAAGTAGGCAGTAAATAATAAATTAAAATTACCTCATCATCATTATAAGGCTTATGTTTAGGAAAGAACACCGAGCAAGGACCTCACTGGTGTAGTGGGTTACAGGGAGCTCTTAAAAGCTAGTAAGTACTGGCCTGAAGTCCGAGTTATGCAAATATTTCAGCACCATTGTGATTATACTTCGTATGTCGTACAACCTCAATAAAGGAAAGATTTAAAAAATAGGAATAAAATAAGAAAGAGCAATAATGTACAAAAATAAGAAATAAGAAAAACTGTACTGTTTATCACAAACAAGTTCGATATGCTCATAATCAGGTAGGTGGTCCAGTGGTAAAGATGCCGGTTATCACGAGCACGGTGCTGGTTCGACTCCGCCCTGGACCCACCCTCCCTCACCCTCTGCAACCTAAGTGCGAGTCAGACTGTCTCAAGAGTCCAGGGAGAATCGACTCGACCAGCATTCAACGATATTCAAAATGAAAGGGAAATCCTCAAGCAGTAGCCGAACCCACATGTGAAAAGTTGAAAGACCTTCGTGGATGAAGAATGGGAGGGAAGAAATCGAATGCAAGAAGTACTGGGATCCGCACAGTAGATGTGAAGAAAGAGTAGTAGGAAAAAAGAAAAAACTTGAGAAGACAAAGAAGAACGCAGATAGTACGTAGGATGTGGTGGGAAAATCAAGACTCGACATTTACGAAAATTGCGAGGTACTTTTGTAACTACTTGGATTCTGACTTACAGTTTGTAATCAAAATGAAATCATTGGTCAGATGAAAGATTACATGTGATTACAATTATGAAAATTATATGTGCATGCATACATATACACGTATATACGTATATATATATATATATATACATATACATATAAATAGATGGGCATCTGTAGCGCAGTGGTCGGTGCCCTGCAACACACATGTGGAATCGATTCCAGCGCCCATGGCCCACCAAACCTTCCATAGCTCCGGGGTCGCCAAATTGTGATGTATGTGCATATATAGGGATACATATATATGTATACATATACGTACATATACATGTATATATATATGGATCCATCTATATGCACATACATCATTCATATCCTCCCAACGGTTTACCGCCTCATCGTAGCTGGGAGGTGCTCCTAGGTGTCGGACTGCGATGTACGACGGAGGATTTCATTACCACGGCAGGGCTTCCCAGGCTGACAAGGAGTCCGGCGTTTCCATCAGGAAGTCCAGCTAGGAGTAAACCAATACCAGGATCCACCACCGTCCTGGTATCAAACCAGTCCCATGGTGACAAATCTCTCTCTCTCTGATCCACAAGGGCGGCGACTGCTTGTGGTGATGAGAACCTGGAGCAGATTTTGGCCAGGCTGACCTCGAAACTTCAGGGAAACACGATGGCTAAACCAACAAAACTCGGAAAAATTGAGAGTACGTAGGGGCCCGCACAACCGGTAACGACGTCCCGTCCAAGTAGCCACGTAAGTACACATATACCTTTATATACGTGTATATGTATGTATAAAGATGCTTATACAATATATTCGTATCCACGCACCAATAAGTAACCGACTTGACCAGAAAGTGTGCGTTTTGTTCAAATTAGTAAATTACCACAAGTGTACCTATCCTTGTTACAGAGACCTACACACTTTTGATAGTGTGCAATGTTCAAGGACAGAATAACAAAACGCCCACTCATGAGTAACCAAAACGCTATACACCCTAATGAGATGATTTCTAGTAGCTGTAACGACGGAAAAGTGTTACCCATACAAAAACACAGTAGCTGAAGAAAGTCGACCGGAGGTGAGGGAGAACACAAGAGACAATCGGCGCATTTTGAGAAGCAATGGACGCAATGTTGCCACTGATCGCTTTACAGTAGGACGATATGTTTTTAACTCGTTTGTGGCGATGTGGGCTTTTCGTTAATTCCTGGATCCTGGGAGCATTTCAAGAGTTCAGAACTTTAAAATTCTATAGAGAAGGCTTTACTTTATCGTACTAATTGCGTATTTGTTTTTGTACGGTGTTCTTTCGGATTTAAACGTGTTTAAAATCAAGGTCTCAGAAAAATTGAAAGAAAAGTTTGTTTCACAAAAATTTCCAAAGGAAACGTACCACTTGCAAACATAGATGATACATTGGGGTTTATCATCGTGCTATGCTGGGTGAATTCCTGCTTTTCCATTTGCTTTCATGTTCGAAATTTGACTCCTTAAGCAATGAAGTGGGAGGTATTTATCGTGGGCTCCGGAATTTTGTCTTGTTGGAACAAGAGAAACTTTTTCTGTTCGGGAAGGGCTCGTAGATTACAATGATTTTAGTGCAATCAATAAAATTCACTATATATTGAGATATATTGAGTTAAAGTTCGAAGTGGCTGTTTTTGAATGACTCCCATAGAGTTCACATTGTCAACTAAGTGTTTGTCATATGTTTTGGTGCTTTTCTTGAAATGTCTTGATTTTTGTAGCAGTAGGTCTGCTGTGCAGTAAAATTCGCCGTCCGGTCCCATCTATGGGGGTGGAGGGTCGTGGTCTGTGTCGGTTATGGAAGTGAGCAACGATATCATAAGTGATGTTAAACCATGCCAAGGACAAGTTGCTTCCACTGTTATGACCGTTCCAATGTATCATAAGGTAGGGACTTTATCTTCTATGCATATTCTTCCAAGAGGTAACAGTGTCTATTATGGAATAAAAGTGATGATATCACTTACAGAAACTTTAGAAACATTATAGACCAGCAATATCCTCCCCAAAGATGTGGAGTTTAGAGTGTTTTGCATAGTCGCATGCTGCTCAGTCAACTGGCTGAACTTCGTGATGACTCCCGTCTCTGTGACGTCGCCCTGGTTGTTAAGGTGACATTGGTTATAGAAATAATAGCTTAGAGTCATTTAGAGACCGTTTCAGGGCACTCGTATCAACGCCCATCGACTCGTGCTTACTGCATGTTCCAACTATTTTAGGGCTATGTTTACTAGCGAAATGGCGGAAAGCCGCTTGCGTAAGTTGTCTGCCTAGTTCTAGGTGTATTGATGCTGAACACCTTCACTGCTTGCTTCTTTTTGTCTGGGCGCTTGTGGCGCAGTAGTCGGAAGCGCTCTGCTATACACACGGGTTTCTCACGACCTTGGCCCACAAAGCTTCCCATCCCTCTGGGCATATTGATGCCAGATTTTCTGGAAGAATAGCAGCACTAGCTCGATACATCCGTGAGCCACTGCGCCTCGTTATAGAGGCCACGTACACATCTAATCACCTCCAACGATGCTTAATGAAGTCGAGTTCATGGCGCATCCCTCAGGGATAGATCAATGCCGAGAGCTTTATCCTTTATTACTTCTTTTTGTGGTGTGTATTGATTTTGTTAGGCCACTTTTACAGAAGAGATTGAGATGGTTGATATGGATGCATCTACATTAGACGCGCTGGTCAGTTTCTGTTACTCCGGCGAAATAAAGATTACCGATCAGAATGTTCAAATTCTTCTCCCAGCAGCCTGCCTTCTTCATTTAAATGAAGTTCAGGTATGATATCGTCTCTATATGCTCTATGCTTTATTGTTACAGCGAATTCGAGACACTTAGCTTAAAGCGAGAGAGCGAAATGAGTTGAATCCAATTTTAGGAGGTATGTTGTGAATTTCTGAAGAAACAGTTAGATCCATCGAACTGTTTGGGCATCCGAGCTTTCGCCGATACTCATGCTTGTCGAGAACTGTTGCGTAGCGCGGACAAGTACACTCTGAATAATTTCCAAGTACTTTATTTGACGTACACTTTCTGTTATATCTTGCTTCGGATTGATTTTCATACATTTTATTTTGAGGATGTCGTTGGTACTGAGGAGTTTCATCTTCTTCCTGTAAATCAGTTGGTAGAACTTATCTCTAGTGAAGAGCTTCATGTACGATCAGAAGAACATGTGAGTCCTCCTAAATTTATTGCGACCATTATATACTACATATATAATGTTGAGCACCCCCCAACGGTTTACTGCATCGTCGTGGCTTGGAGGTGTTCCTGGGTGCCGGACTGCGAAGTACAGCGGGGATTCATCCCACAAAGCAGGGTCTCCCAAATTGAGAAGGAAGTCCAGCGTTTCCATCAGGAAGCCCAGCCGAGAGTAAACGAAGACCAATATCCACCACTGCCCTGGTATCAAAATCGCATGGTGGAAAATCTCCCTCTGATTCATAAGGGCTGCGACTGCCTGTGGTGGTGGGACAGACTTTGACCAGACGGACCATGGGACTCCAGAGAACCACAGTGGCTAGGCCAGCTAAACTCTGAAAAAATGGAATTTATGCTTGGCCTCGCACAACTAGTGAAGATGGGCCACCAAAGTATCCCAGTAGCCATAATGCTGGGCAACGTATCACTCCAAATGCATTTTGTTCCGATTTTTAGGTTTTCGCAGCAGTTGTGCAGTGGGTACGCTTTGATTTGCCGTCGAGAAAACAGTATCTGTCCAAGGTACATAAGTCTATCCTTATTTCCCTTAGAGTTTTCCTTGTCTATAATTACATTATATTAACGCATATTCGCACACTTCTAGTTATTGGAGCACGTCCGACTTCCATTGTGTCATCCTAAGTTCCTCGTTAGTACTGTGAGTGAAGACGCTCTCGTGAAAGCGGATGCTGCGTGTCGAGATCTCGTCGATGAGGCCAAGGTTAGCATTTTAGCTCGTAGCTTCATCGATTTTAATTAAAACCTTTTTTAAAGAATTACTTACTTTTACCACTTGAACGACCCAACATGCAAGGGCCTCGTACTCGACCACGAAAACCAATAAAGTTTGGAGAAGTGCTGTATGCAGGTTAGTCGTTGTACTTTGCTTTGCTTCTGAAGTATTTAAAATCAGGCTGTAGAGTAATCTGTGGATATGTATTAAGTGAACGTAAAACTGTAACCGTTGGTGTAAAAGTTTCAGTGGGAGGGTGGTGTAGTGGAGACGCAATAGCTTCCGTAGAACGCCTGGATCCTGGGAAGGCCATACCAGTGTGGCAATGTGTAGCGCCAATGAGTAAACGGAGGTAAATTTTTGGTGTACAAATTCACTGATCATTTTTATTTTTCATATTAAGATGTGGAGTTGGTGTTGCTGTAGTGGACAATTTGTTATACGCTGTTGGTGGCCATGATGGGCAGACGTATTTGAACAGTATTGAAAGGTGTGTTTTTTATTCAACTCGTTTTTTTTTTATTATCGAAAATATGGTGTATATTTTTTACAATCTTTTTGAAAAGTTATATCGGGACTGGATACCCGCTGGCTATTTTCCTATTTACAGTTTTCCATCGCTAAGAAGTGCATTTTTATGAAGTACATACTCTGCTCTCCATTTTTTTCTCTTCGAATCGAAAACATTATTTTTTTGTCAGTAATACAAACATTACAGTGCTGTATAACACTGATAAGCCGCTATACCATTCATCGTACTATTATTAATTTCACAGGTTCGATCCAGCTACGAATCAGTGGTCGTGCGATGTTGCCCCAACGTCTACTTGTCGGACGTCTGTTGGTGTGGCAGTACTTGATGGCTTCTTATACGCTGTTGGTGGGCAAGATGGTATCAATTGCCTAGATGTGGTTGAACGGTGCTCATAGGTTTTTTGTTTAGCACAGTGTCATCTTGTTCATGGAATTGCTTTACAGTTATGATGCTCGCCGAAATGAATGGACATGTGTTGCTCCGATGGGCACTCGTCGGCTAGGGGTGTCAGTATCCGTTCTCAATGGCTGCATATATGCTGTCGGAGGATCTGATGGACAATCACCATTGAATACAGTGGAACGGTAGCTTCTTAAAATTTAAGCTTCCTTTTTGAATGAGCGTGATCTATCTATGACGCGTGTATATTACTGCTTCTTACGGTGTCCTTGATGGTTGTTATTACTTTTCAAGCTTTATCGAACACACAGTTTGTCGTAGTATTGGTTATTACTGGAAGTCGGAGGAAACTTTTTACACTTGTTTTATGTTATTAGTTTAGGTTGGATCCACGCGTAGGCAAATGGGAAATGGTTCGTCCCATGTCTACTCGCCGAAAACACTTAGGTTCAGCAGTCTTTGATGGTCACCTGTACGCAGTGGGAGGAAGAGATGACTCGTGTGAATTAAGTTCCGCAGAGAAGTATAACCCAGTGACAAATGAGTGGATGACGGTTGTTGCAATGAATAACCGAAGATCAGGAGTGCGTTGCCTTTTATCAAGCTCTTATAGTTTAGCTGTGTTGTCATTTAAATACGAATACCAGTTATCTAAATGAATGCTCAGCTTGAAAAAATATGGAGAGGTTGGGTCGCCTTAGTCCTTCGTGCTTTTCTTGTTGCAGTGATTGTCGATTCCACTTCCACAAAAATATGATTCGCTCATTAACTGGACAGGTCAATGCTTCTTCCTTGATGAATGTGTTTACCATCAATTTATTGACTGTTTAGAGAAAGGAGGGTTAGCTAACTTACATCGTCAATTAATAGTGTTAATAGGAGTGTGAGTTTGCATAGCAGGTTTCAATTTGTTGAAGTCTGCTTGTCGAGTCATCCTAAACAGGATTTACAAAACACTAGACGAAGGACAGCCATGTGAGCAAGCAGTGTTTCGAAAAGGATTTAGTACGATGGACCACGTCCACACACGGTAGCAAGGCTCATTGAAATATTGCGAGAGTATAAAAGACCGCTCTGTCTCTCTTTCATCGATTTACAGAAGACCTTTGACTGAAATGAGATAGAAGCAGTCTTGGAAGTCTTTGATAGTCAAGGAGTCTTCGTAAGCTGTACAAAGATTTCACAACCAAGGTATCACCATTCTACAGCAATATTAACATTGACGTCAAAAGAGGGGTTAGCCAAGGCGATACCATCTCGCCAAAATTATTTACTGCCACCCTCCAGAACGTCATGCGAACATTGGAATAGGATAATATGAGAGTGAAAATCGATGATCGGCAGTTACACTATTTTCGCCTTGTTGGTAACATCGTCCTTATAACACCAAACATTAGCCAAGCGGAACGTATGTTTGACGACTTTGATAAAGTTTGTGGAAATATTGCTCTTCGACTAAGTCTCACAAAAACGATGTTCTTGAAGAACGGATTGGTTTCGTATGCCCCATTTACGCTCAATGGAACGAATATTTCCGAAAGCTCCAGTTATTTCTATCTAGGTCGGGAAATCAGTATGATGAACGACGTAGCTCCAAAGCTGAGGAGAAGGAAACGAGCGGTTTGGGGAGCTTTCAAGAGCAACGAGGAAGTAGTAAGGAGAACAAAGACCACCCGACTCCGTGCCCACCTCTTCGACTCAACGGTACTTCCTGCCCTAACGTATGCGTCAGAAACCTGGTCGCTGCGTAAGCAGGATGAAAGATCATTCAGCGTTATCGAACGCGCAGTCGAAAGGACGATGTTAGGAGTATCCCGTTCCACATAAGTAAGGGATGGGATCCGAAGCTCCGACCTACGTCAACGAGCAAAAATCAAAGATGCCGTTCTTTACGCCAAACACTCGAAGATAAGGTGGGCCGGACACGTAATGCATGTGAATGACAACCGATGGACGAAAGTCGTTAGTGACTGTATTCCAGGGGTTATCAAACGTACTGCAGGAAGCCCGTCGACTCAGGAAGGTCAAAGTTCTTTACGAAGATCCTAGATGAAAGATATGATGCTCGATGAGTCCCTAGAGCGAGCAGAAACCACTGGACGACTCTTGCACGCGACAGGGAAAAATGGAAGATTTACTGCTGCTCGCTCGAGTCACTCGTCGGCCAACGGGACTGCAGGTGATACAGGTGATCGTGGGAAGTTCAAAAATTCACAACATGGATCTATTAAGGATTTTGTTATGCTCTAGTTGAGTACTGTTATTTTTCGTTAATTTCTTTGAAAGTCGATGGTAAGCAAATGCACCGTCTTCACCTTGTTCACGATATCGTCTTTTTCTTGTATCAAGCAAGAGCCGGACCGAAAAATTGTTTGTAGACTTCGACTGTACTTGTGGAAAGATTAATTTTCATCTAAATCTGGAGAATATGGTGTTTGTGAAGACTGGAATTCTTTCTGCTGCTCAATTTACGCTCGGTGGAACGAATATCTCCGTATACTTCAGAAATATATATTTGAGTCAGAACATTAACGTGGTGGGCGCCTTAGCTTCAGAGGTGAGCGGAAGAAAGCGAGCGATTTGGGTACCATTCAAGACTATCTATGACATAGTGAAGAGTACAAAGCAAACCAATTCTTTGCCAACGTTACCAACTCTACGATTCTTCTTGTTTTAATGTTCGTCAGGTTATGCGTTGGAAACCTGGTTGATAAGTAAGGAGAATGAAAGATCACTCGTCGCTATCGAAACAAAGTCAAGAGAGCGACACTGGGAGTATCCGTTATCACGTAAGTGAGAGACGTCATCCGATGCTTCGACCTACGTCAACGATCGGAAATCAAAACCGCCGTTCTATACGCTAAATTGTCGATAATAACGTTGAGCGAACATATAATACGTATGAGCGACAACCGATGGGCAAGAGCCGTTATCGACTGGACTCCTCGGGATGTTAAGCCCACCGCGAGAACATCACCGCCTTGGTAGTTTTCACAAAACCCTGAAAGAAAGATACGTTGCTCAACGATTCCCTAGAGTGAATGTTACCCACTGGGGTGCTCTTGCATGTGATAGGCACATATGGCGGATATACTGGCGCATGCTGGAGTCACTCGACGACCAAAGAGAGTACACGTGACACAGTTGACACGGAAGGACATGAGGATTTCGCAAAACTAACATACGTAGTTCGCGATACAATGCTTTCGATAGCATGTAACATGGTCTTGTGGTAAATGATCACTTTTTAGTCTTAAATAAAACACATTTTTTACGTGGGAGTAGTCTTAAAGGTATCACCTGTATCACCTGTAGTCCTGTTGTTCGTCGAGTGAGCCGAGGAGACGCCAGTAAATCTTCCATTTTTCCCCGTCGGGTGCAAAAGAAGCCCAGTGGTTTCTGCTCGCTCTAGAGACTCGTCGAGCATCATATCTTTCTTCAAGGCTCTTTGTGAAGAACTCTGACCATCGGGTCGGTGGTCTTCTTGCAGTACGTTTGACATCGCGAGGAATCCAGCCACTAACGACTTTTGTCCATCGGTTGTCATTCATACGCATTACATGTCCGGCCAACCTTATCTTCGACTATTTGGCGTAAAGAACGGCATCTTTGATTTTTGATCGTTGAGGCAGGTCCGGCTTTTGGATCCCTTCCCTTACTTGTGTGAAACGGGATACTCCTAGCATCGTCCTTTCGACTGCGCGTTCGATAACGCTGAGTGACCTTTCCTCCCGCTTACGCAACGACCAGGTTTCTGATGCATACGTTAGGGCAGGAAGCACCGTTGAGTCGAAAAGGTAGGCACGGAGTCAGGTGTTCCTTGTTCTCTTCACTACATCCTCGATGCTCTTGAAAGCTCTCCAAGCCGCTGGTTTCCTTCTGCTCAGCTCTGGAGCTCGGCCGTTCATCATATTGATTTCCCGACCTAAATAGATATAACTGGAGCATTCGGAGATATTCGTTCCGTTGAGCGTTAACTGGGCATACGAAACCAATCCGTTCTTCATGAACGTCGTTTTGTGAGATTTAGTCGAAGACCAATCTTTGCACAGGCTTTATCAAAGTCGTCAATCATACGTTCCGCTTGGCTAATGTTTGGTGTTATAAAGATGATGTCATCAGCAAAGCGAAGATGGTGTAACTGCCGACCATCGATTTTCACTCCCATATTATCCCATCCCAATGTTCGCATGACGTTCTGGAGGGTGGCGGTAAATAATTTTAGCGAGGTGGTATCACCTTGGTTTAGCCCTGTTTTGACGTCAATGTTAATATTGCTGTAGAATGGTGATACCTTGGTTGTGAAATCTTTGTACAGCTTACGAAAAATCTTTATGTACTGAGCAGGGACTCCTTGACTATCAAAGACTTCCAAGACTGCTTCTATCTCAGTTTAGTCAAAGGTCTTGTGTAAATCAATGAAAGTGAGACAGCGGTCTTTCGTACTCTCGCGTTACTTCAATGAGCCGTGTTACCGTCTGGATGTGGTCCATCGAACTAAATCCTTTTCGAAACCCTGCTTGCTCACATGGCTGTCCTTCGTCTAGTGTTCTGTAAATACTGTTTAGGGTGACTCGAGTGAAAAGTTTGTAGACGATAGACAGTAAGGAGATTGGGCGATAGTTGCCGATATCGTGTAGGTTACTCTTCTTGAATAATAACACGGTCGTGCTGGTCTTCCACTGAGTGGGTACCTTGCATTCAGACAGGTAAAGTGTGAAGAGCCGAGCCAGTGTGTTTACGAGGACTGGCGGAAAGTTCTCCAGGTGTTCTGATCTTATCCTGCCCGGACCTGGTACTTTTCGATTTTTCACCAACGAAATGGCATGTCGGATTTCGGAAGGGAGAACCGGTGGTGCAACATATCTATCCTCCTTTATTTCATATGACGGAAGGTGGTCGTGGCTATCCAAGAGATCCGAGTAGTATTCGTGAGTGGTTTTCTCCATTACCTTTCTGTTAACTGTTTCTTCTGGGCGTCGGAGTGCAATAATCTTGATCTTGTAATTGGCGAATCTTCGTTACTATGGATTGTCTTGGTCGCCATGATCATCCTGTTCACCCTGTTCGTTCCATTCTAATCCGTAAGTCCCAATGTGACGTTCTTCAGACGTTCTTCTTGGTCTAATCTTGGCGTTGAAATCTCCAATGATGACCTTGAAGAATATGTGATCGTCTTGTAGAACTTCTCCAAGTCTCCAATTAGAAAGCTTCGACTTTTTTTTCGTTATAGTTTGATGTCGGTTCGTAAACGACGAAGATTGTCAAAGCCGGAATTGATCCACGTCTTTTTAATCGTAAACGTCCGATTCGGGTTGTTAGTTGCTCGAATGAATCTATGTTCATAGACAAACTCGTGTTGACGAGAACACCGACGCCGCCGACTCCTCTACTGTCGCCTGTTCGGAGGAACAGTTCTTCTCCGGTGTCATAGACGGCTTTGAATGGGTGGCGTCGTCTCGTCTCGGCCAGGCCGATGACGTCGTACTTTATCCCTCTTGCTTGCATTAACAAGTCTTATATCGAGGACTCGGATGCAAGTGTACGTGCATTGTAGGTACAGATCTTCACCGTAGTTCTTTGAAATCCAGGTTTAAGTCTTAAAGCTAGCATCTTGTAATTTAAATTAATGAATTATCAAATTTTCCAGAGAAAGGTGAGGCCTTCTTGTCGTATTAGATATTTATGCTATGTATATAGCACTGATTAACCCACTTGTTGTTCTAAACTAAGTGCTGCGACAAAAGGATGAGAATATAACATTTCTAGAGAGAACTTTCTGAGCTGTCATTACAACGACAAATGAATTTTCTGCATGTAGAAATATACATTGCAATGAAAGATTGACTTCGACTGCATGTTGTTAAGCGTGTGCTAAAATCCATTGTTTAAGTGGCTAACGCAGAACCCCAGTGAATGCAACTAGTTTGCTGTTTTGTTAGGTATACCCATCTAATTGTGTTTAATTAGGAAGTGATCATTAGTATTTGAAGTTCTTATGGATTTTCTATCAATACGTTGGAATAATTTCCTTTTGATATTCAACTACTCATGGCGTAGGTGCTACTAATGGACGAATTGCTCTTCCAGGTCGGACTGGCTGTAGTCAATGAGAAATTATACGCAGTAGGAGGATTTGATGGAAGGACTTATTTAAAGACCGCTGAAGTTTTCGATTTGGAAGCTAATCAGTGGAAGCATCATGGATGCATGAACTACCGGTTCGTTTTTCTTCTTTTAAGACCGTTTTTTAGTTCTTGTCTTGATGGTATAACAATTTTCTGGTATTCTTAATTTTAGTTAGTTTGGTATTTGCTTGCATTATGCCAAATATGGATGAGTCTAGCACGAAAAACCAGTCTGCAAAAATCAACACACACGAGATGCATTGGGTACGATGCTTGCATGGGGTGGGCAGAGGGGTCGAAGTGCATTACTCCCAATACACTTATTTTCCATTGGTTTACTTCGTTGCTAGAGACTGTGTTGCTACAGTTCTTACATTCACTGAATGGCTTATGCAACATATGTTCTATGAGACATAGTCTCGTTCACTGCATTTAATAATTTGCAAGAAATCGTTTTACGAATGAGTTTGTATCACAGTGAGAGACTATTAGTGTTGAAGTGAGTAAGCAGCAAAAGCTGTCTCAGGTGAATAGAAGCACGTACATCATTGAGAAACCTTGTTCTTCAGTGTTAGTAGACTAAGCGTTCATAAATGTAATCGTACATTGTTTGTCTTTAGAAACACTCAAAAAGGGTAAATTACCTAATGCTGATTGATCCATGAGTTGTGCGCAACGGATTCGAATCCTTTAAGCGTCTTAAAGAGGATTGATTGCATATTTAGCTTATAAAATATACTTTGGTGGACTAGTATGTAAAATCAGTGTTTGTATTTTACTAAATCGATCTGATAAGTTTGCCGGCCCTGGAAAGATAGGGAAGTTGGTTAGCTCAGGAAATTCGATGGACAATGGCCACGTGTATAGAAGGATGCCTCTAATCACTGTGCTATACTTTTTCTCATATCGTTGCTAAAGTTTTGAATCTTTCCTCAAAAACAGTTACAGCATATTTCACGATTTTATATTTTATATATATATAATGTATGTACGTGTACCCGTACGGCGACAGAACAAAGTTTCTTTTGTAAGGTCATTCCGTTCCCAACTTTTCTAATTGTCCAAAAATTAAACTTTGTTGTTGAGTAGTCAACATCATTCACCGTGTCAACTGTTCCATGTCTGCAACCGACATGAAATTTAGCGTTATACCAAGCGGTTACCATGCGAAGCTAGCCTTCAGGTTTTAGGTTTTAATAAGTACTGTCAGCAACATGACTGTACTATTCTACAGATTAGGTGCTAAGAGAAAAATAGTGCTACAATGATGTAGTTCTGGAGTGGGGTATAATTTCAGCCAGTTTCAGCCGTTTGGGTGGCGGTGTTGGAGTTATACGAATGCCTTACCAGGTTCAACAAGAGCACACTATATACGAGACAGGAAGTTCTGCGCCTTTCCCACGGCCTCATTTCGCTTCCGACATCTGTTAGAACTAGAGCTCTTGTGAAGTTATCCTCCGTATAATACTACACTCCCCGTATTTTCAAACTTCGGATGTTTTCCATTAAACGATGTGACTTCAAACACTATTTGTATAATATGTTAGGTGTATATAACACATTTGTTTGCCAAACAGGAAGCGTGAACAATCCTTCCTTGATTACTGAGCATTGTTAAAATTCTGCTAAGAACATTTATTTTAAGAAGCACTAATAAATGAGAGTTGTGATATATAAATTAGGCGTGTAGGCTTCCTCAGCTTTGCACGTACAATAAGTTTACAATGTTTGGATGTGTCGAACGTTACTGTGAATAAAAGAATAATGAAACGAAGGGATATCGTATTGCTACACAGCAACTTCCGCAAGGTATGCTTTTAAAGGCGAACTTATACAAAGAAAAGAACCAGATAGGCCACCGTACCCTTGATGACCTGAAACATTTAGACGGGTTGTCAATAGAGATTTTCGGCCTTTTTTACTCATTAAGCGCATAAGCTTTTTATCAGTACTGAGTTTGTTCAGTCCTTGAAATTTAAATGGCACATGAATATGTCAGCGATGACAAGTGTGAAATTAGTGGGGAAGCCATTTCATCAATATTTAGAAGGACATAGAAAAATAAGACAATAATTGTGGTGGTTAAAAACTGACTACGAATAACTCCAGAATGCCAATACATCAATAAGCCGCATATTCACATCCTCACGCACTGTTGTGACTCGAGATTAGAACATACACAAAAAATCACACGGAACTAAAGTTTGAAAAAACGAGAACTCAAAGAGGGATATCAATGAACGGACCCTTGCTCAAGTGAACGATCACCCCCACATCTCTTCCGTACGTCCAAATTTATACACACATGACGAAACGAAAATGATAAAATTTGTGAGGAAAAGCGCCACTCCAGGCCACACGGTGTGGTTTCCTGTGAGTAGGACATAGTCACTAAATAGTACCCAAGTGGCCGCTACAAGCGATGCGAAGGATAGCACGAATGCTGCCATTAGCCATAGACGGGAACCTATTACACGGAGCGTAAAAGTGCAAAACACCGAAGCATGGAAACACAAAATCTAACGTGGTATACCTTTTGTACCCAGGAGTCCCTCCTGCAAACTCTCACCACGAACTTGGCTATTCGACACAGCGTTCACCATAAACATTGCAATCGTGCTTCCAACAGTGATAATGTAGTAAATGTTGTTCCAATCAGCCTTAAAGTATAATTCGTTGAAGCATATATCTGAATATAAACCAGGAACTGCATTTATGTCATTCATAAACACCCAATAAAATGTGAAAGGAAAAACGAGTAAAATCCACAAACAACTTGAACCAGTTTAGGGAATCAAAATGTCTTACTTTTCCGTACACAGCGGAGGTATCAATCATAAGCCACCAAGCTACGGAAAAAAGAGCAGCAGCGGTGACAGAAGCAACAGCATTCCTTTTCCCGTCTAAGTCAATATTGCAGTTGCAGTTAATTTGGTCGAGACAACCCGACATTAGGATCTGCCAAATATGTGTGTAAAAAGGCAACAGAGAAAGAGTACAAGTATATTGGCAAGTATAACAGCTACTCATTAACGAGAACAATGAAGGAGCCAAATAACCACTCCATATTTATGACAATAAAATACGTAGAGAAAATTTACGTTTTTTTCCTACGATCCATTTTAGTGAACAACCTATCGAAATACTAGCATCTAGCAATGAAACAACCTGTGACAGTACGAAACACTGAAACCGGGTTTTGGAATCAACTATGATGACAGAGGGGTTAATTTGGACCACACGAAGATAACAGCAAAGCTACGACAAGAGTTAATAATCACTTTAAAAACATATGGGAAATACTGTTTACGTCGCTCGTCATAATACTAACGATTACAGCTTGAATTTCCGCAACATTTACTAAGTTCCAACTCCAGTGTCTCCATTTGGTCATTTTTCTTTAACTCTTTCGGCTGCAAGAGTAGAACGATTAAGTCAACTCAACTAAAACCTGAAATCAAACAAAAAAAACTGTCAAAATATGGATGTAAGCACTCACAGGTACTAGCGTTCCCCAACGATTTTGACTGTTCCAAAGTTTGGCATAAAGTTCGCCACGACGAATCAACTGCTCATGAGATCCGAACTCTTTCACGCGCCCTTGATCCAGAACATAAATGATGTCCGCGTCCACTATTGTAGCTAACCGATGAGCGATAAACAAGGAAGTCCTAAAAGTTGACTTTGTTTCAGCAATATGGAAATAGTAAACACTAACCTTTGTTGAACCGCTTCCTTCAACGATCGCATGATGTTTACCTCAGTAATAGCATCTAACGACGACGTCGCCTCATCGTAAACGATAAGAGGAGCGTTCTAAAAGTGTTAAACTACCACAATTTTCACTCGAAAAATGACACAGATACCAACTTTAAGAATAGCTCTCGCAATAGCGACCCGCTGCTTTTCTCCTCCAGACAACTTCAAACCTCGCTCACCGACTAGGGTGTCGTATCCCTAAACAATGCATTGAAAAAACCTCTATAAATTTGAATAACACCAAATTTTCTCACATCCCGCATTCTCTCGACGGAATGGTGAAGGTCGGCGAGTTTGGAGGCTTCCATCACTTGTTCACGAGATGCTGTAGGATTGCCATAAGCGAGGTTGTAAAAAATGGTATCGTGGAAGAGAACAGAATCCTTTCAAAAAAAAATCAACTCCAATACGAAGAAAAACGACTGAATTAGATCTACAACAAATAATATTCCAAAGTTTGGAGAAGATTAGTGCTTACAAAAAAAGGTTAATGAAATCAATGTTGGGAGGTCGGACTGCTAGAAGATTAATTTCCATAAACATAAAACAAAGTGAAGAAAGTGGAGAACAAAATTCCATCGTGCTCTGAGCACTCCAAGAATATTAAAGCAATGCTGCAATAAATAATAAACTGTTGACATCCGATGGTTTAACCGCGTTAGTGTCAAAGTCATGCCCAACGCTATGAATATCCAAGAATGCTCCAGCAATGTCTATCTAAGTCGGGAAATCAACATGATGAATGACTCAGCTCCAGAGATGAGCTGCAGGAAGCGAGTAGCTTACGGGGCTTTTAGGTGCACCAAGGATAGAGTGAGGGGAACAAAGAACACCGAACTCCGTGACAACATTTCCGACTCTATGGTTGTCCCTGCTTTAACGTATACATCAGAAGCCTTATCCCTGCGTAAGTAGGGTGAAATATCATCCAGCGTTATTGAACGCGCGGTCGAAAGGTCGATGCTAGGAGTATCCCGTATCACGCGAAGGCAGAAAGGGATCCAAAGTTCCAATCTAGGTCGACGATCAGGAATCAAAGATAACCATTTTATACAGCAAACTGTAGACCAGATACGCAATGCGTATGAATAACAACCCAAGGGCTGTTAGTGACAGGATTTTTATGGATGTCAAAAGTATAGTAGGAAGACCACTGACTCAAATGACAAAGTTCTTGACAAAACCTTGTGAGAAAGATATAATGTTCAACGACTCCCTAAAGCCAGTACACTCGATGACCAACGGACCGATACGGTGTCAAATTCAAAGCTCACCTGTGGCACTACCGAAATTGCTTTTCTCAGAGAGTCAAGCGTAAGGTCGTGAATATCCGTTCCATTTATGAAAATGTCACCGTTGTCAGCATCATATAAGCGATATAGCAGACGCACAAGTGTAGACTTCCTAGAAAAACAAGATGTAGAATTAACTACATAGTGGAAAATTCACATTAGGCCACCCTTCCTACTGCTACGGAACAGTGTAGCGCAATAGTTAACAAAACAAACAACGCGTCTAAGATACCCTGAGCCAGAGCCTCCAACTATAGCGACTTTCTTGCCTGCAGGTATTTCCAGTGATAGGCCGTTGAGAATTGGCTTCTCCCGCAAATATCCAAAATAAACATCTTTCACCTGAGAGAGATAAACTAAACAAACCTATGTAACTGAAAGATGTTCACTGAATTAATCTTTACCTTCACAGAAATGTCATTTCCTTGGACAACCAGATGCTTGGCATCTGGTCTTTCAAGAATTTTCGACTTCAGCGTGAGAAGAGAAAACATTGTGTTCATATCAACCAAACCTTGGCGTACTTCTCTATAGACGGATCCTGTAAAGTGTGGAATCAACTCAAAAAGGGAAACGAGGCAAAGAATTACCAAGAAAATTTAGTGGCATGGACAACTGGAATAACAGCGTATTGGCTAGTACTAAATCACCAACAGTAGCTTCACCTAAAAAGAATCCTATCAACAACAAAAAAACTATTCACAGTCACATAAGGATTTAATTAACGAACCCACTGCAATCTTCTTAGCCGCCAAGTACATAACGCCAATAAGACCAGCAGAGAAAATGGCGTTCTGAGTGAAATTCAAAAGGGCCAAAGATGACGTCGTTTTGAGCGATGCGTTCTCAAACTTCTTCAAAAAACGGTCGTAACGATCGGCTTCGAATTTCTCGTTGTTAAAGAACTGCAGAGAAAGAACATTACAAATGAAAATAGCTAAAACTCCACAAATGAGTGGTATCCACTGTGTTACCTTCACTGTTTCGTAGTTGATAAGCGAATCGACTGCTTTGTTGCCCGCATCGTTGTCTGCTTGGTTCATTTCATGACGGAACTTCGTTCGCCATTTAAAACAGAAATACATACTCTATGGAAAATTACACGTATCATAGTTATGTTACCGTGAATGATTGAACCCTAATAATTCTAATTTATACAGCGCTAAACATACCGTGTGATTGCTAATGTGGCGATAGCATACATTCCAACGCTACCCATAGTCATATACGCAAACTCTATTCCCAATGAGCTATAAAAAATCGCTGATACCTAAAGAGGTAGGTGTTATGGCCAGATGAAAAATGTAATGCCAATAATAAGGTAGCAAACCAAAGATAGGCGTGAAAGTTACGTACCATACCAATCTCTACGGCTGTCGGGATGATGTTGAACACAAGTGAAGACAGAACGAAACTCATCCCTCTGGTGCCGCGATCGAAAACAAAATGGATTGAAAAAAAAGAAAAGTCAAACTTAAGAGCTCCCACCAATTGCCTTCGACAATGCTCCAGTTTGACGATTCAGATGAAAAGAGAGATCGAGTGAATGCAAATGGAGGAATATGCCCCGCGCTATTTGTCTCACCGAATGATGTGCTACTTTAGCAAAAACTGCATTTCGTAGCTCGTTCATCAAAGCAGCCGAAGCACGAGAAATCCCATCTAAAAGGAATAGGCAACATTTTATTTCCTCGCCATGAAACGAACGATGTAATGGAGCAAAGAAGGATAAAACTGATAGAACGGATGCGTAGAATCAGAAACTCACATGCGAATATCAAACATAGTCCGACTGTTAGAATACCGTTAGGAACTGTGTCTAATGTAAGCTGTAGAAAAGTGGGTGCTTTGTCGTTGTAGCAGTTTACGATATCACGGTATAAAAATGGTACTGAGACATTAACTAGCTAAACAATTGAAAAATACTTTGGCTGAACCTGAATGAAACCAAAACACAGAAAAACAACAACCTTGGCGCTGACTAAGAGGAAAAGAGCTACAAGAACCCTCTTCTTTATTGCCGAATTCCCTTTTGGCCACACAAACTGCAGTAAACGTCGAATTAGTTGCCATCCACTTAGTTGTGCATTTGCCTTAACAGTCCAAAAATATTCACATTTCTAAAAGTAACGTCGCAAGCATTACTTGAATTGGAACCAGAGTACTTGCTCCTGGATGAAAGCACGTTCTTGGTAGGGATATAAAGATGCCTCTCTGAACAAAAATGATTTGAAACAAGAAAGAAGAACAGCTATTCAAAAATAACCACTCACATTCCTCTGAAATAGCTTCTTTGATAGTCGCAGGTTAGTGGATTTTGTAAAAATTGAAAGCTGTCGTATCTGTAACTTTGCTTCAATACGAGGGATACTGAGGTAAAACGAAAACAATAGCTTGCCTGACATTTTCCTCTGAAAGCACTACGGAACGCTATTGGTGTTAAACGAACTGTATGCATCTCTTTTAGATTTATTGAAGAAATCGGACGAAACAATGGTTTTCAGAAATGCTTGTCATACCACAGAAAACCGACCTGCAATTGAGAACTGCTTGAACACGAACATCTATGGCTTGGAAACATCTATAGGAATAGTATGAACACAGACTGTCTTCAGAACAAGGGGAAGAATGTTCAGAATCTCGAGAAATTCAGAGGCCTGGAGGACATGGACGAGATTTCTGCGGCTGCGGAGTGACAAAGGGAAACTCGTACCTCTCATCTCACATGGTTAACTACTGCCTCGCAGGAGATTTGGTGCCATGCTCGCGACTTGAGGACTTCTTGGATCATTTTTTTATTGTCATTTAGCCTTCAGTGGACGTACTTCCTTAATAATGGCAAGCAACAAGTGTTTAGAAGGCTGTCGTAATGAAAACCATGAGATTTCTGCTGCAAGGTGTGCATAGCAGTCAGTGCCTTTCTCAATCGCTCATTGTTTTCATCTCACCAATCATCCATGAACACTCTTCGCATGACATATATGATTCTCCAGGAAATATCCAGTTTGTTTCTTAAGCCATAGGTTTTATTCGAGAACGATCGGATTTTGCAGTCGACAGTGAATGAAACTCGTCCATAAAGGTAAGTCATTTTGTAATGGAAATTTTTATTGTTATCAGTTATAAATGAACTCGTGCAGTGTCAACTCCGCCCTTGGAACAAGACCCCTCAATGTTTATCGCCTCGCAGTGGTAAGACTTTTCGGTGTGAACGCGATGTAAGACAATAGGTTCACCAATACGGCTTGGTCATTCAAGCCGGGAATGAGCTGGACATCGGCACCCGGAAACCCAAATTTCTTGAAAAAAATCTAGCCGTATTACCTGTATCACCTGTAGTCCTGTTGATCGCCGAATGACTCGAGCGGACGCCTGTAAATCTTCCATTTTTCGCTGTCGCGTGCCAGAGTAGCCCAGTGAGTTCTGTTCGCTCTAGGGACTCATCGAGCATCATATCTTTCTTCTAGGTTCTTCGTGAAGAACTCTGACCATCGGGTCGGTGGTCTTCCTGCAGTACGTTTGAAATCCCGGGGAATTCAGTTACTAACGGCTCTTGTCCATCGGTTGTCATTCATACGCATTACGTGTCCGGCCCACCTTGTCTTCGACTGTTTGGCGTACAGAACGGCATCTTTGATTTTTGATCATTGACGCAGGTCGGAGTTTCGGATCTCTTCCATTACTTGTGTGAAATGGGATACTTCTTGCATCGTCCTTTCGACTGAGCGTTCAATAACGTTGAGTGATTTTTCATACTGTTTACGCAGCGACCAGGTTTCTGACGCATACGTTAAGGCAGGAAGTACTGTTGTCGAAAAGGTGGGCACGGAATCGGGTGTTCTTTGTTCTCTTCACTACATCCTGGATGCTCTTGAGAGCTCCCCAAGCCGCTCGTTTCTTTCTGCTCAGCTCTGGAGCTAAGTTGTTCATCATGTTGATTTCCCGACCTAAATGGATATAATTGGAGCATTCGGAGATATTCGTTCCGTTGAGCGTTAACGGAGCATACGAAACCAATCCGTTCTTCATGAACATCGTTTTTGTGAGACTTAGTCGAAGAGCAATATTTCCACAAACTTTATCAAAGTCGTCAAACATACGTTCCGCTTGGCTAATGTTTGGTGTTATAAGGACGATGTTACCAGCAAGGCGAAAATAGTGTAACTGCCGATCATCGATTTTCACTCTCATATTATCCTATTCCAATGTTCGCATAACGTTCTGGAGGGTGGCAGTAAATAATCTTGGCGACATGGTATCGCCTTGGCTAACCCCTCTTTTGACGTCAATGTTAATATTGCTGTAGAATGGTGATACCTTGGTTGTGAAATCTTTGTACAGCTCACGATGTACTGAGCACGGACTCCTTGACTATCAAAGACTTCCAAGACTACTTCTATCTCAGTTTAGTCAAAGGTCTTGTTCAAATCGATTAAAGTGAGACAGAGCGATCTTTTGTACTCTCGCGATACTTCAATGAGCCTTGTTACCATGTGGGTGTGGTCCATTGTACTAAATACTTTTCGAAACCCTGCTTGCTCACATGGCTGTCCTTCGTCTAGTGTTCTGTGAATTCTGTTAAGATGACTCGAGTGAAAAGTTTGCAGAAGATAGACAGTAGGCAGATTGGGCGATAGTTGCCGATATCGTGTAGGTCACTCTTCTTGAATAATAACACGGTCTTGCTGGTCTTCCACTGAGTAGGTACCTTGCATTCAGACAGGTAAGGTGCGAAGAGCCGAGCCAGTGTGTTTACGAGGACTGGCGGAAAGTTCTCCAAATGTTCTAATCTTATCCTGTCCGGACCTGGTGCTGTTCGTTTTTTCACCGACGAAATGGCATTGAGTAGTATTCGTAAATGATCTTCTCCATTGCCTTTCTGGACGCTGTAACTGTTCTGGGCATCGAAGTGCGATCAGTTTGGTGTTGTAATTGGCGAAGCTTCGGAAGGATTTGCGAATGCTTTTCACAGCCTCTGCGGCTTCGACCATTACTGCTGCTCTTCTCTCTTTAAGATCTTATTTTATTGCCTCTCTGCATTGTTTTGCAATTTCGGACGTTAATTCGCGGTTGCCTGCAAAGTCCATATAGAACGCTTCGACTTTTTCTTCGTCATAGTTTGATGTCGGCGCGTAAACAACGAAGATTGTCAAAGCCGGTATTGATCCACGTCTTTTTAACCGTAAACGTACGATTCGGGTTGTACGCTCTTCGAATGAATCAGTGCTCATGGACAAACTCGTGTTAACGAGAACGCCGACGCCGCCAACTCCTCTACTGTTGCCTGTTCCGAGAAACAGTTATTAGAGATCGAGCTATAGTTCTCTTCTCTAGTGTTGTCTAGGTTTCTTTATATATTAAATTGTGAACTGTTGACACGAGCGTGAACTCTAAGTGGGGCATTTTTGGTAAGCAGATCTTCTCCGGTTTCATAGACGGTTTTGAATGGGTGGCGTCGTCTCGTCTCGGCCAGGCCGATGACGTCGTACCTTATCCTTCTTGCTTGCATGAAGAAGTCTTCTATCGAGAACTCGGATGCATGTGTACGTGCATTGTAGGTACAGATCGTCACCATACTTCTTCGTGATCCAGGTAGCTTCCATTAGCTCTAAGATTTTAGCAGCCTCTCCGTACTCGTCCTACCCAGAGCTGTGAAATTGGGGGCTCTTTCGAGGTCAGAGGAATGAGACCGGTTTTCTCCAACTGTGTTTAGCATTTTGATAGCCACTTATAGCTTGCTGGGCTATGAACGTGGGGTCTGGGTACACTCACGGCTAGCTTGCCAGGCTCTTCCATAGTGGATATGGAGCTTATGTGTTGGAGGCGACTCCTAACCGCCTCCCGTATACTTCCCTGTCACTTGATTGCAGGGTTTTGGCCGAATTGACTCTTGGAATACAGGCCGCATAAGCGAGAACGCACCCACACGCGCATGCATTAATACGCGTAGCAGATACAGAAAGTATGTGCCAAGTCAGCGCAGCAGAAACAGGGAGTCCATCCCCTGGATCCACTTCCGTCTCAGGGAAGCAAAGGTCGATTTTGGTCTGCGATTAACCCCCTGTCCGCCACCTGGGGACGCGCCACGTAGCCTCGCGGCTAACCGGCTCGAGAGCCCTCATATGAGGGAGATCCGTGGAATCTAGTCGTAGGGTGGAAAATTTCCTCTGATTTCAAAGAACCTGTAAATACTTGTAATGCTGATCTGAGAACATTGAAAAAGCCGTTTTTCCTTCCAAGAAATAGAAACAACTTGTCTAGTTAAAAAAAAGCTGTGGTGTGGGAATTACTGCAGTGGATGTTTGTCGACAACGAATAGGGGAAGAACTGTTTGTATCTGCACAGTGCATGTGATGGTGGATCGTGTAATAATAACTGTAGTAATAATAATATGGTAACAGTAATAATGATAAGAACCTGCACATACTGTTCTCGAGCGTGCCAGCATCATTCAATACTATTGCTCTTTTGGTAACCCCAGAGCACTTTTTGCGCATTTCTCATTTTTTTGAGGATTTTTGGTCAAATCGGAGTGCAAGGTGCAATCTATCTACATGAAGAAACAGCAAGACATATTTATTTATTATTTATCACATGACACACCACCATATGAACCTGAATGACTGAGAGAGACATTGTGTGGATCACAACGTTTCTTGCATTCAATTTTTTTTCTGGAATCCACTTTACACGAAAGTTTTCGAAATAACTTTTGCATGTGGCAGTTGCTCGTGGATTTTTCGTCTTTATCACGAATGCTGGTCGAGCTAATTCTACGTGGATTCCAGAGATAGGCCTACGAGGGCGTTCCGACGTGGATCAGGGGGAGTTAGCTTGTCCCAGACAAGTTTGGTAGCAATTTCACAACCTGGGGAATGTAAGGTTTGGCAGAGCGTGATCGAGCTAGCGGCTGCGTGAATTAAGGCGTCCACGTAATGAATAAGGTCTCTACACTGCGTTACTTGCACCTGAAGTAAATATTAGTAGTTGTTCTGTATGGACAAAGTATATTTGTGAGTATAACACACCAAGACAGCGATCTTCGCACTGATTCTACCCAAATTTCATGTTTGGTTTTCATTCCCATTGATATCTTCAACTTTGACTAACCGGCGAACCTATGAATGACTGATATGAGACTCTTCAAATGAAGTGAGTCCATTGCAAGGGATAGATGTATTGGTCTTGTTTTACTACCTTGCTGTTTTTTCCTAATTCCTTGTCATTTTTCGCATAAA